CAAATCCCAACACACTTATGGGCCAATTTCTCCGGCAGGTCCAGTGGGAATCGTTCTGCCTCCTCCTGCACCTTGAGCTGTCACCGGGTCTGTGCAAAGAGGCTCCGGGTCCTTCCAGTGACAGCCAGGGGGTCACTCACACCATCCGTGGAGAACTCAGGTGCCGAGCACTTGAAGGCCTTCTGAACCCAGCCTCCTCTGGCCAGTGGACCTCTCCCAAAGTGGCCTCAGCTGTGTTTCCCATCCTGCATGCTCCCCATCGAGGGCCACCGCCTGCCCCTCCCCTGAACTTGGCCGTGACTCTGTCTGCCCCTAGGAATAGGAGGCAGAGGAACCCGGTCCTGCGTGACTTTGCGTGTCTTCTGCCAACACTGTCCCTGGAGACTCTTGCTCTTGGAGCCCCGGCCACGCGAGGAGGCGGATGTCATTGTCCTGGTGACAGTCTGCTGTGTGGGTGAAGGAGCTTCAGTGCCTCGGGACCTCAGCCTTCGAGTTGCTGCTTCAGCTGACAGAGCTGAGCCTCTGCTGACCCTGTCCGTGGCCCCAGAGGTGTGAGCGTTTAGGTCGGCTGATTTGTCACTGTGACCCAAAGACCCGACAGGCACAACAGAGAGGAGGAAAGGGTTATTTGGGCTCATGGTTTCTGAGGTTCAGCCCACGGTCAGCCGACTCCATGGCCCAAGTGAGGGAGGACATCACAGGTGGGGGGACAGCCGCCCTGGTGTGGCACCGGGGAGCAGAGAGGAGAGCGCCCCACTCACCAGGGACCCAGCATGAAGCCCACGGCACGTCCCCAGGGACCCACTTCCTCCAGCCACACCTCAGGACAGTCACCCTCAGTTCACCCACCTCAGGGGATTGAGCCGCTGATTGGGTCCTGGCTGTCACCGCCCCAGCGCTCCCACACTAAGCACCTGCATGCTCACACCTGAGCCGCGAGGGACGCCTCCCGTCCAAACCGTCACAGTACGCGAAGTTGGGGTGCCTGGCCACCCAGTGCAGGGACCTAGACCCCCGGGCCTGCCCACGGAGGACCCTTCTCCCCGCAGACGCGGAAGCCGGGTCTCACCTGCCAAAGGAGCAGGATCAGGGTTCAGCCCCGGGGCCTCCTGAGCACTGGGTCCGGCTCACAGCGGAGGCCACGTCCGGCCCCGGCTCGTCCTGAGCACAGTCGTGCTGCGGCTCTGGGTCTGGGGGTGGAGGCAGAGAGGGGACAGGTGACAGATTGTTGTTTGGGTGGACATACTCACAGGGACACTGATTACTTGCTTCAAAGATTCACATCTGGCCTCCTGGGGACTCTGACAGACTGGCCCCCGGGGTTGTCCTCAGCCCCAGGGCTTCCTGTCAGGACCTCACCACACGCCTGTCAATGGCTGTGGGGGTGCCAGGTGATGGCCTCGGGGACCGAACAGCGCGGTACAGAGGCCTGGGGTCCGCCGTAAGCTGACCAGTTTACAACCCTCCACATCCACCCTGGGCCCTGAGATGTGGGGCCAGAGAAGCATCGGACGGCAGGAAACTGATGTCCAGCTGATGACAGCCAGCTAGCAGTGGGGACCCAGGCTGGTGACAATCCTCTTCTTCTGAATGCAGATACCTGATGAGCCCAGATCGGCTTGTGGTCCCCCTCATTCCCAGGAACAGATCAGTTTCTTTCAGGACAAGAGATCCTGGCATGGCTCTGGGCTGTGGCCTTCCTGGTGGACATGAGTTTCCTGGTGACCTAAGTGAACCCTGAGGACCCTGGAACCCCCAGTGACTCTGACGCTCCCCTGGTTCATGGGGGGAAATGGATTCACTTGGCAAATGGCCAGGCTGGGCAGGCAGTGGGCAGGGGACAGGTGCTTCGTGCCCACCAACGTCCAACCCCCTCTGGTCACTTCACCCCATACTCAGTCCCTTTGGGTCCCACGAGGTTGACCTGAACCCACAGTTCCAGGCCTGGATCCATGGCCCAGTCCAATGAACCCGATTATTCCACTCCTCTGGCTGTAGTGACCAGTCCAGGAATGGCCTCGTGACCTAAAGTGGAACTTTCCCCAGAGGTATCAGGAAACACGCATTCCATTCAGGGGCGGTGGGGATTGATAGATTGCAGCTGCTGCTACCAGGGGTGGTAACTGTCAGAGGGTGAAGCCCACAGAGGAAAATCAGGGCCTGGGGCGGGGGCAGCGGGAATCCCAGTAGCATTTAAACACCTAGATCCAGCCATATCTGAAGCCAGACCCCTTGAACTTTTCAATGACACTGGCCAATAAGCTCCCGTTTCCCACGAGCTGAGCAACCGTGAAAGTCTTCAGATGTTATTAGTGTATTCTCCAGGCTCCGTCTCCATGGTAGCCACAGGCTGGCAGAGAAAAGTAACCTGGCCTCCAGCTCCAGCTCCCCGCCCCCCTCAGGAGTGGGGATTATTCATTCCATAAACGCTCGTGGAAACTGCAGTCAGCCTGAGCACAGGACAGGCGACACTCAGATCCTAGCAGAGGGGAATGGTGACAGCTGTCATTTATTGAGCACATAGTGTGCAGCAGGCTCTGTGTTAACCCCTTTCCGGGGATGAGCTTTTTAACCTCTTAGGCAACATTACTAGGCAATGAAGAAGAAACCGAGGGTCAGAGGGAGGTTGAGCAAATTGGGCAAAACCACACCCAACAGGCACAACCAGGATTCCAGTCCAGACAGACTGGCTCCAGTCCACCCTCAACAGTGAGGAGAGGGCAGGGGAAAGAAACGTTTGAAGGGCCAGAGGTCTGATGGGACAGCAGGGACAGGACAGGGGAAGGGAGAAGCTCTCCTGGGCAGAGCCAGCTCCGTAATCTATGGGCCCCGGACAGAATGCAAGTGGCTTCTGAATGGGTCATGAACATGATACCGTCTCCTCCCAGCTCCCGGGGGAGCATCTTCATAGCCCTCAGCGTCCCTGTGAGACACCCGGCTGCCTGAAGCCACCAGGGCAGCCCAGGTGCTACAGGGGAAGGAGGAAATGACACTAAGCACAGAGGTGATCTGTCGGCAGCCACAGTGACTGGAGCAATAAGGAAACAAGGAACAGTGCTGGGTGGTCAGCAAAGCTCTGGAAAGTGAGAGCAGCATGTGCAAAGGTCCTGAGGCAAAGCACTGAGAAGGCAGAGCTGAAGGGAAGTCACAGAGGTGGGCAGGGCTGGCTTGGAGACTCTGGGGCCCAGTTTGGGACCCAAGCAGACGGGGCACACCACCACATCCACTGGGCACTTGTGTTCCTGCCTACATTCCTCCTGCAAAGGGGTGAATCTGCTTCCCCATGTGATTTTGGGCAAATCACTCAGTCGCTCCAGGTGGAGGTCAGTTTTTCCCTGTTATAAAATGAGGAGAATAAAGCTCCGGCCTAACTGGGATCATCAACCTGCCCCGCCAGCACCGTGGTAGTGACAGCGCCACCCACTCTGGGCTGGGCTGGGCTGCACCCAGCACTGGGGTGCAAGCATCTGTCCCTGTAGCAGTGCGCTTCCCCCTCCCGGGGCCTCATCCACCCTGGAGGGAACTGAGGCAGCGCTGGCCCTGCGCACACAGGAAGGCCAGGCCCTGCTGGTGGCTGATCCCAGCTGTGGCTGCTCTTCCTGCCAGAGCCCCACACCTGGCTCAGTGTCCTCAGGCCCCCGGGGGAGCCCTGGTCAGGAGGACCCCTGTCCGTTCAAATCTCCACCAGGATTCAGGAAAACACAGCACAGCCCGGCCCAGCGGGCAGCAGGAAAGAGGCAGGGAGAGAGGCCCAGCTGGCCAGCAGGCAGAGCCCAAAGGCCACCCACTCGGGAGAGCCCACTGACCTGGCCGTATTGGCCTGGCAACTGTGGCCCCAGGGACACAACCTGCCCCCCTGGGATCTGAACTCTGTGGGCTGGGGGAGGAAGACACACAGACATGAAACAGAAAACACTGACTTTGTGCTCACCTGGTGCCAGCACTTCCCAGACCCATTTGATTTTCATGCACCATGAAGGCACAGAAAGGTTAAGTGACTTTCCAAAGTCACACAGCTGATAGGTAGTGGAGCCAGATTGTAACCAACAAACAGAATTCCTCAGTCTCCACCCTGCACACTCACATGCCCTCCCCACGTGAGGGACGGGGTCACACCAGCCTACAGTCGGGGGACGGAGGCCCAGAGCTGCCCACCCGAGGTGTCCCGGCCAAGCGTGGAGGGGGGGATTGAGTACTAGTCTCCCCTGGTTCTGGGGGGTGGGAGTGGGGGGCTCGGCCAAGACACTTGAGCACCCCAAGCTCTTCTCCCCACAATCCACCGCCTCACTCCAGTCCCAGGCGCCCCGGGACAGCCTAGCCCAGGACATGACAACTCACTGTGTCACAGCTGCTGAGCCAGGGCCACCCCAGGGTATGACATCCCCCAGGCCCAGGGAAGAGTGAGGACAGGAGCCAGCACCCAGGGGCACCCACTTCTCTGGCCTCGCCCCACCCCCTCCCCCTTTTGCTCTGGGGCTGGGGGGTCACTCCCTGGAGTTCAGCTGGAACCAGAGGGGACGCTGGAGGGGCTGGGAAGGGGGAGGGGCTGGGAAGGGGGAGGGGCTGGGTCCTCGGGAGGCACAGGGGTGGAAGGCTGGGACACGGTGCGAGTGCGCTGTCCGCTGTCCGTGTCTCCCTTCCCCTCCCCTCCCCTCCCCTCCCCTCTGTCCCCTCCCCTCCCCTCTGTCCCCTCCGGCAGGGAAGCCAGGGCCAGGGCCGCTGGACAGCAGAGGTCCCGAGGCGTGGAGGCTGAGCCAGGCCTGCGGGCAGGCGCGGGAGGAAGGAAGGGACGCGAGAGGACAGCAGTGAGGGGTGCCTGGGGGTGGGCGCCGAGGCCAGGGCGACAGGAAGCCCAGCAGCTGGACCCAGGAGCATAAATAGCCGCGCGCAGAGCCGGCACCGGGCTGGGCGGGGCTCACTCGGCAGGGGCTGTGCTGTCCCCGCGGTGGCCTGAGCACCGGCAGCACCGACCCACACCCCCGCCTGCACCGCGTCCCCGGATGCTCTCCCGGCCAGCCATGCTGCTGGGTGGCCTCCTCCTCGCGGTGGCCACCATGATTGCAGCCCAAAGGAGGGGACCGGAGGCGGCCGCGCAGCACCAAGTGCACCTGGTCCAGAGCGGCCCGTGCAGCTACACCTTCGTGCTGCCCGACCCGCAGCCCTGCCCGCCCGGGGACCCCGGGAGCCCCGACAGCCTCCAGAGGGACGTGTCCCCCGCGGCGCCCTCGGCCTCCCTGGGCGCCTGGCGGGCCCAGCGGGTACGACAGCTGGAGAAGGCGCTGGAGAACAGCACACTGCGGCTGCAGAAGGTGAGTGTGGCGACCAGCGACCTCGGGGACCTCCCAACACGCGGGCGATCGGTCACCCCAGGACCCTCCCCGGGCAGAGACTGGGATGTGAGGCTCAGAGAGGGCAGGCATGGGCCCGAGGCCACACAGCAAGGCGGGCGGCCTCAGAACAGGAAAGCAGGCTCTTTGCCACTGTGTGGATTCATTCATTCAGCGCTCAGTGGAACCTCGTTGGGCCCTTGCCACAGGGCGTCCGCCCCATGTGCAGGGGTCCAACAGACACAGTGGGGGGGACAGCCCCTCTGGGTGAACCGGGGAGAGGCACAGAGGTGTCTACTGTGTCTGATGGGGACCCAAAATGGGAGAGGAGTGTGGGGTAAGTGGTGGACGGGGCTGGCCATCTGAGGTCAGACCACTGGAGAGTGGGGTGACGGAGAACAGAGCGTGACCAGGCAGAGGGCCCAGCAGCAGCGAGGGCTACACAAAACGTACGGGGTGGTCACCTGGGGAAGGCACGGTGGCCAGAGCAGGCAGAGCAGAGAGCAAGAGGGAGAAGAGGGTCCAAGATGGATCCCCAGAGGTGAGGGCAGGGCCGGCCGTGAGGGCCTGTGGGTCACTGGACGGCTCTGCTCTGAGTATCAGGGACCCAGCGTGGAGTCCTGAGCGGGCAGCAGCCAACCCCCAGCTCACTGCAGGGGGCTCCAGGGGAGGACATTGTGGCCCCTGCAGCCGCCAGGCATCAGGTGATGGGGCCGGCGGCAGGAGGACCTGGGCGCAGGGTGGGTGGGGTCCTGGCATGTTGGGAAGGAGCACCGACTAGCTCTGGGGCGGAGTAGGTGTGCGCACTGGTGGACAGATGGTCGTGGGGGGTCATTGAGGGCACCCGTCCCTCTCGATTCTTTCAGCCAACACTGAGCACCTACCATGAGGCTCAGGTGGGCCCTGGGCGCAGGGAACAGGCAGCCTTGGGGTGGCGGGGGGCAGGCAGGACCCGAGGGGTCCAGGATAGAGCTGGCAGGGCCACTGTGGGCCAAGTGGGGACAGGAGGATGAGGCCCAGGACACGGGACGGTCTGCGTGGAGGGCGTGGCAGCCCTGAGCCGGCTCAGGACGCACTTAACAGCAGCCGGACTTGACAGGGGAAGAGGCGGGGGCTTGGTGTGTCCCCCAGACGCCGCTGACCCTCACGCCTGGCAGACGGTTTGGGCGGCACCAGCCGGCAGACACCTCTGCTCCCCCGGCGGGTGGGCATGGGCTGGGCAGTCGGACCCGGGTGCCCACGGACAGCACAACTGGGGTGACGGGTGGCGCTCTGAAAGGATCGCATGTGAGCCCGCGTCCCCTCCGTCTTCCAGAGGATGGTCCCAGCACCCTGTTCACCCTTCTCCAGGCAGGCCAGGTGCACGACGGTGCCCAGGTCGGGCGGCTCCCCACCCACACAGGTGCTCCCCACGAAGCCCTGCCGCTGCTTCTGCCTGCCTCCTAGGGCCCCGTCAGCTCCCCTGTGCCACCTGCCTGCCGGCCACACCCGGTCCCTCTGGCCTCCACCCTGAAGCCAACCCAATGCCCAGTCAGCTGCCTGGGCAACCCTGTGCGTCTCCCAGACAGCTGTCACCGCGTCCCATGGGAGAGTCCACAGGTCAGAGAGGCTCCTCCTCCTCCAGCCTGACTCCACCTCCCCCACCCAGACGCTCCAGACAGGGACCCCTCCTTAACAAGGAGTGGGGGCGGAGGGTGACCCCTCAGGCTGGGGGAAAGGAGAGTCTCCCTGGGCAAGGCCACTTCCCTGCCACCCCACGAGACCCGCAGACTTCTCTGCTGGTCCTTCCCCTGAGCATGCGCTCACACCCAAGTACCTCGTGTAACAAAGAAGGAGGAGAAGAGGAGGAGGAGGGGGAGGAGGGAGAGGAGGAGATGGAGGGTCAGAGGAAGAGGAAGAGCAGGAGGGGAGGGAGAGGAGGAGGAGAGGAAGGAGTGGAGAAGAGGAGGAGGGGAGGGGTGGGGAGGAGGGAGAGAAAAGAGAAGGGGGAAGAGGAGGGGGAGGAGGGAGAGGAGGGGGAGGAAAAGGTGGAGGGGAAGAGGGGAAGAAGAGCAGAAGGAGAGGAAGAAGAGGAGGAGGGGAGGAGGGAGAGGCACCAGAGGAGGAAGGGGAAAAGGGGGAGGAAGAAGAGGAGAGGGAGGGAGGGAGGAAGAGGAGGAGGGAGAGGAGGAAGATTAGGGGGAGAATAAAGAGGAAGAGGAGGGGGAAGAGGAAGAGGAGGAGGAGGTGGGAGGATGAAAGGAAGAGGAGGAGGGGAAGAGGAAGACAAGGAAGAGGAGCAGGAGGAGGAGAAAGGGGAGGAGGGGAGGATGGAGATGAAGAGGAGGAGGGGGAGGAGGAAGAGGAAGG